AAGTCAACTAAAGGGCTAATGATAACCATCAAAACATCTGCCATTTGATATAAACAAATAAATATTTAACTAATTTCTTTGTTGCCTTCCGTGCCCCACAACTAAATCAGTTCAATTAACGTCGTTTTAAGTAAATATCAACAAGACATTTTAATTGAATTTTACAGGAATATGTGTGATACACTGTAGCAAACTTCCCACCACCAAAATTCAAATCGTCAAGAAGATATGCGAGTTGGAAATAAATAAGAATTAGAATGCGTAGTGACAAATTGGAATTTACTAGGGTAAAAGTTGGGCTGAAAAATATGTCAAATTAGCTCTGAAAATGTGATTAACCATGTAAATTAATTAAATGATTTCTTTGCTTCAGGGGGAATAGATACTATCTTCCCCAGAATAATTGTACCCACTTTTGTGTGCAAAGTTTTAATTTGGCTATAAATATTAGGACCAAAATACATTAGCAGAGAATACGTTAGCGAAACAATTTTTTATTACTTTAGAGATCGCTTATTGGTTAATGCTCCATTCCCAAATCTCGAGTAGCCAACCAGTTATCACCAACACTTTTGGAGGCGTTATTTATCGGTTGACTGTCCTTGTATATAATGCAATTAGAAGTAGAATGTTACACTTTAATAAACTTATTGATGTCCTTATTTAGGTGATTGTCATACATCCTTCTCTATTATTATCAACATGCTAATGAGGATGCATAACTATTTAGATGAAATTAAAACGTAATAAGAAATTTAATAAGTTATTTATTTTAGAGCGAAATTTGAGTTAGAATTTGTTTAAGAACATAAATAATTTCAGTTTCATAATATTGTTTTCCTTAGATAGACATCATTAATCGGTTGGGATATATTTCCTGATGTCACAGAGATATCATCAAAAGTTTTTCTAAAAAATTAAATACAACAAAATATCATTTCTTTTAAGGTGCAGATATCAAAAAATGGATTAAATAGCTACGCCACGAATTTGGTAAATGATGACATCATTTACTCTCAAATAATTATAAATTATTTTAAATTAAATTGCTGTTTTATTTTAGATCTTAAAATGCATTAGTGTCGTAAATTATACATATGTGAATTTCCTTGCAGGAAATTGAGCTAATTGCGTGTTTTACTGTTCCCCTAACCAAATAAATTATTAATTTAAATTTGCAAAATACGCCTTTTTCCTCGAGGCAGTAAGGCAGTTAATGAAACTCAATGTCGTGTAATTTACGCCATGCGCAGAGAGTAGAGGGGGCAAAAAGGTTTCCCTCCTTTTTTTGGAGGAAAATAGAACTCCACCCCCTCTCCCCCTTTCTTCTTCCTGCTCATTTTAGGAGAGACAAATTGAATGTCAAAAGGAACAGAACAGCTTTACACGCAGAAAAGTAATTTGAAGAGTCCGCCTTAAATAAATATGCAAATTCTCTCGCGAGCGGTAAAAACCGACCTCATTTAGTACCACTGAGTTACACACACTGACACCAATATGTAACATTATGCTGGGGAGTCAAATAGTTCCGCTTAAGTTTCAACTAACTTACCCAACCGAAGGTAAATCATCAATTGATCTGGTTAGCGTTCCACCTTCACTGATAGCGGAGTCAGTTAGACTTTCAGTATCTCGTACAATATCCTCTGTAGTCTGCCTTTCAGCCAGAGGCATAGCTTTCTATAACAATAGCAATAGGTCCTAATTTTAGGTTTTACTCGAGATTTGTACACGCTATGAAGGTAGCCGATTCGATCTTCAATAGCAAGCATAACCCTTTCAACACTGAAAGGCACTAAAGAATCCATATCCTCCTCTGGATCAATCACACAGTGAACCAGTAAAGCCAGCTGCTTAATCCCTGCAAGCACAAGTTCAAGTATTCTTTTTGTTGAGCACAAATTCTTTGAAAGTGTCAATTTTCCTGAACTTGCATGGGAATACTCCTCCTAAAATGATCACAAAAAAATTTACTTTTACTGAAATAAAATAAGTAGACGGGTTAAATTAAACCTGCATCTAGCTTTAAGATTTGCTGACGGAATTTATCGTCATTAGTTTTCATAGATGCCATTGTGTGGAACTTCTGTTCCTCAAGCATGTCGATTTCTTTCTTAAGTCGAGAACGATCGACATTATTTTTATTGATATACTCCACAGATCGATGAATTTCCTCTTCGTTGGTCTTGAAATTTGTAATTATTTGAGAGACTTCCTTGACACCAAGAATTTGAAATAGCTTATGGAAAGCTCCTTCATATATCTCAATCTGATTAAGCTGAGTTTCGTAATTTAGCGCCGGATCTTCTCCTAATTTGGAGCAATATAAAAAGACATGTGATTTTACCTTTTGTTGGTAAGACTGATTTTCTGTAGCGACACTTAGATATTATTTTCTTGAAGTCATTTAATCTGTTAACATAATTGTTACTTCTTTGGCGTTCCTTCACCTCTGCTTCGAATGAATCACTCTCTTTGGTGAATTTGGCTGAAATGTCAAGGATCTTCCTTTGAAGTTTCTCCCTTTGAATTTATATCTAATCCGTTATTTCAAATACCTCTCATCATAGACTTTAATTGATTTTGTAATGGCAGTGTTTTTTCGTTGAGATATTTCTTCGAGATGGCTTTGATGCTTCTTCAAATCGTTTATAAACTGGCGTCTCTCAATATACATATGGTCTACTTCCGACCGAATTTCGCTTATTGAAGAAAATAATGAGCCCGATTTTTTATTGATCTAAAATATATAGCAAATAATAAAAGTACTAATGAGATTTTATTTTCTGTTATTTCTTTGAATTTATCATAACACTCCAAACGTTTGTCATCTACGTCGACTCCAGGTTTAAGAAGTTCTATAATCTTTTCGTTATAATTAGAGATCTAAAAACTTTATTATTAGAAAATTTCGAACTTCAGAGTCCAATTCAATTTGCTTTTGCCTTTCATGCTTAATTTTTCGTTGCAATTGGTCGTAAAATAAAACCAGTTTTCTTAGCTCATCAGTCGACTTTTCGTCCTGCTTACAACTATTGATACAGTTTATAATCGATAGTTGAAGTTGTAAATCATCATTTTCAGCTTCTAATAAAAGCATTTCTTTTCTAAATATGCACAATTGGAACCCAAATAAATAATTACTTATATTTATCGAATAAAGACCTCATGCGGTCCATCATTCTTTTTTTATCACGCTCGATTTTTCTGCATTTCTGATTTAGTTCTGTGTCCTGAGTGGTTTCCTCAACTAAGGACTTATTCATTCTAAATTTAAATTGTGTTAGCGTCAGCAAATATTCAAGGCCACAAATAAGTTACCAATTTAAAGTAGGAATCATGTTAATCCTTTTATAAAACAAATCAATATTCAAATATTTATAAAAACTAATTTTAATCACCGTTTAGTATTTTGTTCTGTGTCTCCTATTAATCTATTCTTTGATCCACTCTATAAAATCCTCCGTTTTGTTCGAAATTTTTCTCTAAATTTTAGGTTTATTAAAATATTAGTCCCTTAATCGTGCAATAACATTTAATCAATTCAATTAACTCATTGTAATCACTGTTTTGTTAAAGCGGTAGTGGAAGAACTATTTTTTTCCATTTGGATTCAAAATTTTTATACCGTGTTATCGAGTTTACCAATACTCTACACTTGAGTTAACTTAGTCAATTGTAAATAATCATATATATGTTGAAAAAATAATCATTACAAAATTTTATTTTAATCAATGTGTGTATTTAAGAAAATCTTGACAGTCCACCATTGCCATTAATTGGTGCACTAATGTAAACTTTCTAAAAATGAAGGTTAGATAATCTAATGCACCTTTTAGAATTTTGACTGGAAGCCATTGCGTCTAAAATACGATTGACTCGAGGGAAACTGAAGATAATAAGTGCCAGAAAACAAGTTTTATTCGTTGGCTGCAGAAAAAATTCATTAAATTATGATTATCCTGGTACAGCTTGAGATTTGATAAACTAACGGGTTTAAGCCACAAGATTATTAAAGATTTGCTCAATTTAACTTTTATTTATTTATATGTCTATTTTGAAAATAATGACTGCCTAATATTTTTAACTTGAAAATATTCAGATCGGAATTCATAATAATAATACGATTTGGGCCACTTCCTCAAAATGTAATCTGTCTCTCAGAATCAAATAAAGTTCCAACGGACATTCATCTGTTAATCAACATGGATATTGGAACAAGCTTTAGTTAAATGTATGAGTGAGCCAAACTGTTCTCAATCAAATTCCACAACTTCAAATAAAATTAATATTTACAGGTTCAAGCACTTTTGGAGCTTCCTTAATAACCTACAACCGTCCTAGCATTCCATGTAATATCAGAATCAAACGGAAAATTTTGAGGCCAGAAGTAACACAAAATTTTGACTTAACTAAATTTGGAAAATTGTTCGGATTATAGAAGCATAACAACAGGTTTATGCGGACTCTGAGTCATATATATATATATATATATATATATATATATGTCATTTATGAATAAATAGAAGACTTTAAAGTGGGAAGAGTGCAACATGATGACGACCTACATGGAGGAAGACTCACCACAGCAAGAAATCAAGGAAACATCTCTCTTTTGCAGAACCCCGTGGAACAAAATCGAGCGGTTACCATTGGGGAAATTGTGAACGAAGTAGGAAACGCACACGAATCATCCTTTTCAATTCTCACTGGTATTCTTGTCATGAGCAAGATCTCGGTGAACACTGTGGGTTCGAAAAGTGTTGCAGAAGCAACAACTGATCCAAAGATCTGAACTTTCTTTAGAAACTTTAGCAAATATGGAAGCAAATGTGAATACTTTTCAAGCGCTGTGTTACTGAAGATGCAAACTCAATCGATTACTTTGGCCCAGAAAACAATCTTCAATTAAAAGAGTGGCATTCATAGGCAACCTCTGGGCCCGTCAAGTTCAAGGCCGGAAGTTGTATTAAAAAGGTCATGGCCATTGATTTTCGATATTCAAAAGAAGTGATACACATTGACAGGCTTTCTGAAGGAACAGAGTCAATCCCCTCTAGTTATTATCAGGGCGTTTTGAAGTGATTGAGGACATTCCTTGCCAAAAAATCGGCCTCGGAAACTGCACAGTCAAATTCTCTTGCTTCATGACAATGCTTCTGCACATACTCCAAGACCTGTCAGAGGTATGCTACACGAATTTTGATTAGTGACATTTCTGCATCCGACATGTAGTTCAGACCATGGTCCCACTGACTTGTATGTCTTCAAAACTAAAGCAAAACCTTAAAAGCACAAAATTTACGTCTTTATGGAAATAAAAAGCACGTAATTCCAGAGACAACCTCGAAATTCGGCCATGAGGTAATTTACAAGCGGAAACATAAATATTACAGTGGGGCCTTTGAGGGAAAAATGAACGCAATCACTTGTTAAACAAATAAATTATGCAATTTATTTTTGTGACTCACCCTCATATATATATATATATATATATATATATATATTTGATTTTAGTTGGGGTAAGTGTTGACCCATTTGAAAAATTCAAATCGTGAAAAAGTATGAAATGGAAATCCGAATGCAGCTTCAACTCCGGTTGGGAGACGCACCGAAGTATCTGTTGAATTAACTTGAGAACCGTATTGTTAATTCGGTGGGAAGTCTTCCTTTAAGGCATACCAGCATATAGACGATCTAGACTGAGGCTATGCAATTGTCTGGAATAAATGAGAGCATAAGTTGCAGGCAAGGAGGAAGTGTTTTAGATTAGGGAAATCACCAATGGCTTATAGAGATGGATCAGCAATGTTCCCTCGACTACGCGTCTACTTATTTTCAAACATCCAAGAGCGATCGGTTTGGAATGGTTTTGATAATTAATACCATTTATGAATATTCACTAGAAGAATAGTCTCTGCGAACTTATTAAAACTAATAATAATATTATTCACGAGTTCATTTGGAAATGCATGTTCCGGCATTCAACTTGGGTAGAGATTGGAAACAGGTAACCCTTCCGCCCCCCCC